CCAATAATTAGAAAAATTAATCAAGTGAAATACCTTCACAGCCTTGGAACAACCATCATTAGCAGCAACACTTTCATCACTCAACAATATGAATTTCTCAACTTGCGACGCTTTAGGCTGCTTGCAAGGAGACTTTTTCACAACTTTCACAGAAGGAGATTCAGAACATCTCTCATCTCCAATTTCCCCCTCAGCTTCTCCCGAATTCTCAACTTTGGCAGTCTTGACAAATTCCAAGGTAGGAGAAATGGGTTCCCTAGGTTTTTCAACCTCACCCTTCTGATCGTTCTTTTTCAACTCAGCTGTAGGAGAAATGGGTTCCCTAGGCTGCTCCCTTGACAACGGATCACCTACAGTTGCTTTCACTGCCTCTATAAGGGACTTCACTGCAGTACCGATTTCGTCTCTAAAAGCCCGAAATTCGTTCTCCATTTTCACAACCCGGCTCATTAGCTCATTATCTCTAGAAGCAGCATCACCCATTGCCACTCTAAATTCTTGACCAAAGTTGTCAATTCTACCCTCCATGGTACTAAACCGAGCATCAATACGCTCATAGAGAAGTAGCTCATCCCCGTCGGGTTTGTGCCGTTTCCCATCTACTTCTCCCCGTTTCCTTGGAGGTGATTTCAAACCGGCATCCTCAGCTGATCTTTTCCCCGAACTGCTGGAAACCTATAAATTAATTAAAAAGGGAACCAAATGTACCATTAGCATGCTCCAACTTGTCAAAAGAATCAAATATACTATCAATCTTACCACTTTTGTTAACAATAACTCCACGTCTCCGCTCCCCCAACTCATCAAATCCAAACTCCCATCAACGGTTTGGAAAATACCATTTGCATGCTCCAAGAATATTAACTACAAAAAAAAAAATACTATAATCAACATGATGATTAATCATTACAAATATGTAGAAAGTCGGGATTAACAATTATTTACCTCCAAAAACAGCAAGCAACCCGGTATATACTCTCTTTTAGAAGCATTATGGTCGCAGATGCATTTGACCAATTCATTGAAGCAAAAGGATGCCCAATTCTTCTTCGGAATGTCTGCAACATCGGTGACAGCGTATACCGAAGACAAGGAAATGTCCTCTCTTCTAGTTGGTACTAATAGCACCCCCATTACGTACAAAATAAACATTTGAAGAAATAGATCGTCGCTATCTTTCATCTTCGACAACTCCTTCTTCATTAAGCTTGTGGAAATCGCCTGTCGGCCACATTCACGTGTCGAAAACACTCTAAATGGTTCCAGTTCCTCTGATCTTCCCTCCACTTCTTCACCATTCAAGATGATATCAGTACCTCCCTCAGGCACACCCATAATTCGCTCGAAATCTTTGGCCGAAATATGCACTTCCAACCCATACGCCTTAATTGTGCTTTCTTCCAGATTAAAGCTCTTCACAAGTTTCTCCAACAACTCACGTTGTAGCTTTCTTGCTTTGACATCAAGAATACGACCAAAGCCACATCTCCTAATGGCCTCTGATTGACAAGCCTCTAAATTTGAGACTACTGAGAATACTTTCCTAGGAGAACATCGCGTGCTGAAAATTTGATCCCTCTTCGTCTTCATTATAGAACAATTTTAGCAAACTGCAAAATTAAAACAACAGAAAAATTATAAGCATGCCTTGAAACACGAATTATAAGCATGCCGAAGAGTACAAACAAAATACAAGTTCTAACTACCAGAAGAACTGAAAACCCCCTACATCAACACCTGAGTACACTAATTAACCATGAAAACACCCAGCTTTCATTAATTTTCACCCAAAATGCAAAATCTCACGGCCGTGACATGACCCGTGAGAAGCAAAGAGAAGTTTGCATATCTCCAGACAATCTCCAGACAATCACACGGCTTATTCTCACGGCCGTGAGAATTTACAAAGGGGCCGTGAGAATTTACAAAGGGGCCCGTGATAATTTACTAAGGGGCCGTGATAATTTACAAAGGGGCCCGTGAGAATTTACAAAGGGGCCGTGAGAATTTACAAAGGGGCCCGTGATAATTTACAAAGGGGACCGTGATAATTTACAAAGGGGCCCGTGAGAATTTACAAAGGGGCCCGTGAGAATTAACAATGGGGCCGTGAGATGCCCATCATCCATATCCAAAAACACGGCTCATCTCACGGCCGTGACACTGTCGAAGGCAACCCGTGAAAACCTCTGGGAAACTGAGAAGTGTGTTTTTACATACACGGTCTCTCTCACGGCCTATCTCATAGCCGTGATATTTCCAGAATTACATCCACGGTCTCTCTCACAGCCGTGATATTTCCAGAAACCACACACAACTTACAACTTTTGAGAGCTAAATAACATGACCACGAGCATAGCCACTAAGCTTTCCATAACCCATGACACCACCATAAACACTCGCTCTATTTCCATCCAAACTGGCTAAAACTGAAGTCACCCTGATTTCATGAAATAGTTCTTGACTAACACACTCAATTGCACCTTTCATGCAGCCAAGCAAGACCCTTCAATTAACAGTCCAAAATGTAATCAACAAGCAACGGTAACGACACTACAAACTGAAAATAATCAAACTGAGTATGAACTTTCCTTTTCGATTTGCCTCCATAAAACACAAATCAAGTCTCTCCAATCAAAAACCCATTCCTTACATCCATAAAACCCAATCAAGACCAAAGAACTAAAGAAGCAAGCAGAACAACCCCAGCACAGTTATTCTCTTCAGTTTGAAAGCAAAGGCAACAACGAAATGAACAACCCCAGCACAGTTTATGGGATTATATAAACCAAGACAGCTTCCTAGTTGACACTGAATCCTCCATTCACAAATACCTCCTAGGTCACATCAACGATCTGTGTGAGGAATGAAGTTATATGGTGGATGGCCACAACTATTTGCACAAAAAAGTGCAGACTTTCTGAAGCTTCATCAATCACGGAATGACTAAAGATGCCCCCATCTCAATCAAACTCGGCCGTGACAAAATACAGCACAACCAAGAACTACACTTGAGAGAGCTTCAATACTCATTGCACAAGACGTTAAAGCTAAAGAGATAGACAAACCAAATCACAGAAGAAGACACTGGAAAAGATGGAGCACATCAGAATTCCCACTTCACACAACTGATAAAACCGAGAGAGGGAAAGGAATATTGCATCTTATATCACCATATCCAATTGAGAATGCACATGAAGAAAGCAGTGGAGAAGCTTCAATTTCAATCCCAAATGGTTACACAGAATTGAGAAATTCTCTCTTCTACTTCCATAGTTCAATTTGGTAAAACGAGCATGGAATTTCAATCCTATGATTTGGCAACCGATCCTTAGTAGACAACTTGACATTTCCAGAGAAATAAGTCAGACATTCAAAGACACCATTATTGTACTCGAAGCTGCTCCAACAAATGCTCTAGAAGCTAGAAGCTAGAAATTGAATGTTTATCAAAGGGAGATAAGAATTTCAGCCACTTACATCGAATGAATGACTGAGTCGTCGTTTCAAATCGGAAATCGAATGCTTTATCACCCAATTCTCGCTATTGCAGGAGTTCTCCTACCCGGCGCTAGTTGACTCGTCGTTGTCGATTGGGCTTTTCGAGTCTTTGATTCCTTCTGAGTCTTCCTCCAGTAAAAGAGTCTCTGCCACCTTCAGAATTCAAGTCCTCTTTGTCGTCGCCACTGCTCACCCCCTTTACTATCTACGAACAGACCCACCGCGAAACACAATCCCAGGAGAGGAAAGTTGAAAAACGATCAGACCCACCGCAAAACACAATCCCAGGAGAGGAAAGTTGAAAAACGATCAGACCCACCGCACAATCTCACCGTTTCCGTCGCCGATGCTCAAGCCCTTCAATATCGACGAAGAGACCCACCGCGGAAGAGCACAGTTCACAATCGCGAAAGGGTTCCCCCAATTTCTTTCTTCTCACAACGTCGCTGTCGCCCTAGATGCAGGTTCGCCGTCGCCGTCGCACTATTTCAAATGCAGGTTCGCCGTCGCCGCGGAAGAGACGCTCTGAAATTCCACCTCGGAAGAGAAGCTCTGAAATTCCACCGCGGAAGAGAAGCTCGATCGCCTTTTTTTTTTGATGCAGTGAAGGGTTTCTGTTCGCCTGGATTTCAATTTTTTTTAAAATGATTGTGTAATGAACCGGTGCAACAGGTTACCAGTCCACAAGTGAAAATAATAATAATTAAATAATTTCAATCCAATGGCTGATATTTTATAACAAGATCCAATGGCTCTAAGTATATTAAAGCATGGGTACTATATAGCATACTAAAATGCCTCCTAGTGATGATATAAAGGAACAACTAAGGATGATCCCTCCAGTTCGGTGGTAATTAATAGACAAGGAACAAAGTTTCTCCTATCACAATTAAGGCCATTATCAGCTCCGCCCCAATTTTTGCCTTCACACTTCTATGGCGAAGGAGAAAAATAAGAAACGAATAGAACTGTCAATCCATAACATTGAACCAACAACATCGTTTCATTAAATCAAGAGACGGATTGAGGAAATAATTGAAAACCCACCTTAAGGATTCGATTAAGAAAATAAGCAGATTTGGAAAAATACTTTCTCTCATCTGTATCTGTTTCAGACTCTAAAAAAAGAAGGCAAGGGGTGGAGAATTACCAGTCCGCCCATCAAATTCTTTATGCTGGGAAATAATCTGAATCATTAGATAGAAGAATGGATGAATAATGCGATTTTTAGTGGTTTTGTACCTATCCGTCCCCATACATTAGCTGATGCTAAAAATCGATGTATTGAGTAGAAGACGATTGATGGATAAAAACATATAAAAATCCAATCATGGTTTTTATTTGTTGTTGGAACGTCCCATTAATTTCTTAACCAAAGTATACAGTGATGTATGTATCCCAAGCGCTTGTCCTATTTGTGACACCCCACTCGGCCATTATTTACTATATACTTGCGGTAAAGTAGATTTCCCGATCTAACAACTGTTTGTTGCAAGTATCTAATTAGTGAACTTAACAAGCGGGTACTTGGGTTGTTTATCCGGGGTAAACAACCCAAAATGCTGCTCCGATGCCGCCCCTGGTTTCTGGTTTTCGTCAAACATTGCAAACAAATAAGTCTCCACGGGCTGCCCGGGCCTCTTTGGCGTCCCGCTGGTGACCGTACCATTCGTCAAACCCAAATAGTAAGCCGCAGCATTCTCCGGCGTCGCCCCGTCATTGCCGGCCGACGGCCACCCTGTCTCTGACACAACCACCTACATCCATACCCATGCACCATGCATAATATTAAAATAGTTGTTTGGAAAGGAGAAAAAAGAGAGTAATAAACGAAGGCACCATGCAATGCATGCATATACGTAAGTTGATCGCAATAATTCGAGTTGTTGGGAGAAATTCAATCGTGGATCATACACCACAACACTAACACGCCCCCTCAAACGAAAGCCACTTACAAAGGCTTGAAGTTTGCACAGGTCTGAAGACAAGAATACCATGTGCTTAACAAATGGGGGGTCACCGGGAATCGAACACAAGACCTCTTGGTCACATAAGGCTCTGATACCATGTCAAGAACCAGTTAGTCCAAATAACTCGAGTTGTTGGGAGATATTCAATCGTTGATCATATACCACAACACTAACACGTATTACGCACGTACCTGAAGATTGGGAGCACCAGCCTTCTCAAGAGCAGCGTAAACCGAATCAACCATGGCATGGAAGAGATTCTGATATCCCAACACGCCATCATGCACCACCACTCGCCCGCCGGTCCCGAAAATGGCATAATCGAGCGCCACCTGGCCCGAGCTCCCGATGTAGGCGAAGTAGGGGTACACGTTGGCCAGCAGCGGAGCTCCGTTGGCGGCCAGGAACTGCACAATGGGGACCACGTACGCCGTCGCGGAGTCCGCGAACGCTCCGGCAGACGGCGGGTAAGTTGTCCCCAGCAGGTCCACCCTAATGGTCGTGGACACCTTTACGTTGGCGGCGGCGGCGGCGGGGGACTGAGCTAGCGCGTTCTGGATGTTGTGCATGGCCGGGAGGACGCTCTGGGAGATTGGGTCGGTGGGCATGACCTCGTTACCGACCACGATGTAACGGAACTGGACGGAGGGAGTGTAGGATATGACGTTGGTCTGGACCCAGGCCGTGGCGGCTGCTGGGTCCCCCGCTAGGGTCGGGATGACCTCGTTGGGAACGTCTAGGGCGAGCTCGATGGATGTGTTGTTCAGGGCTTGGAGGGTGAACTGGTCGGGCTCGTAGATTCTCATTTTGGTTATCCCGTTGGCCGTGTAGAAAGCCACCACCTCACCTTCCGGCGGCAGGTTGTCGGCCACCCGCCCGTTGCACACTCCGATTAATGGGGCTTGGGCGACAACTATTGTTCATAGTGGGAAAACGTGAATGCTAATTACTTGACGTGGATAGTTAATATTATGTTCCAATTCTTTTCCATCAAGCCTTAATATTATGAAACATAGAGATAGAGAAATGGAAAACTATATATATATATAAAAATTGACCTGTCAATGCTGTGTAGGATAGGAGCACAAATCCAATTAAGGACATCACCTGACCGCCAACTACTTGTTGCCGGCGTGAAATTGTTGTTGCCGGGATGCTAAAAGTTGATCGGAGAGGAGAAAACATGCTGTCAAAAGACGAACAAACAACTTGAATGGGCGTTTCTTAATTTGTTTGGTTTATCCCCTTTTTGTTTAAATCCAGTTCTATGGATTCCTCTTGATGGCTGCTGTATTTGCAAGTTATATATAGTCAAGCCGCGACCATTTTCTAAGGAAAATTAATAATTATGATGATTATCATGTTATCCTTTTTCTAAGGATACAATATCTACATTATCCAATTAATAATTTTCCTTCCATTTCTTTTTTGTTCCGGATATGTCAAATGCCTATGAATGGTATATAATCTGAATTCTTAAATCTTTTTTTTATTAAGATTGTTCCATATTTTCCCCTTATTGTATATTAGGAATGATTATCTGTTTCTCCTTGAAGATGAGTTTAAGAATTTGTTTTTGCTCTTAAGACAGTTAGTTACATGCATGATAATAAACTGTTATCCAAAACTATATCTTGTGTGAACTCTTTCCTATTAATAGGAATGCTAAGTTCTGACTACCAAATTAAAGTAGAGAAATTTTTTTTAGCATTCGGTTTTTGGTACTAAACGAGACTGCTTGCGAGCTAAGTGCGTAACTTGATTTTACAGATCGAGTTAGTATAAAGTTTTGTTTACCTCTCATTAGACCCTGAGCTAATTCAATATTGTAGCTCGTTAATCTCTAGTTCGTGAACAAGTTGGATATATAAAGTGCCTCATAATCATTGGCATAGCTAGAAAATTTTCAAAGTAGGGTCCGAATGTAACTTTTGTTACTATTAAGTAATAATAATTTTAAGTTATACTTATCTCTTTTCAAAAAATATGTACTTGCAATAAATCAAATCAAATCCTAATTTACAAGAATGATAAGAATAAGTATTACCTTTTATCCGTCACGAGATTTAAAATGAGAAAGACCAAAAATAATTACACCTATATTTGCCCTCTATTAAACATACAAGTAGATTCATATAATATAAAAGGCAAAATATACTTTAATAGCCACAACTTTCACGTTTGCGACAATTATGATCACAACTTTCGAAATACAAAAACATAGCCAGAATTTTTATGGTTGTATGACTAATCTAGCCATTTCCGTTACAAACTTTAACGGTGTTGGAGACCGTCAGTTAGATTAACATTAGGGTGACTAGGATGTCAAATCATTGCACACGTTAGCGACAAGTCATAATATCATTTCCACGTCATTTTGAATTATAAAATAATTAAATTTTAAATAAAAACCATAAATATTTTCCCTAATTGCCCCCTACCCATTGCCTTCTTCCTGCTACTGCTACTGCACCTGTTCTTTTTCTTCTTTCTATTACCCTTCAGAAGTTCTCTCGCCGGAAACAAAATCAATAGGGGTAAAACAAATTGAAGATACCCCACTCATTCCTCTCTCCCCTCCCAATCATTCATCTTCGTCGGCGTCGGATTTTTCATCGGAGAAGCCGCCGACTATGGCCAACAAGTATTTGCAGATCCAGAAGCAACAGACTTTCTTACCACCGCCACCGGTGATTTCGAACTTAAGAATGACTAGAGGCGGTCAATCTTATATTCTTAGATTGATTAGCAGGGACTTGTACACGACCCTTTGGAAATCCAGAAGACCATATATGCTCTAATCCTTCTTCAATTTAGGGAAGCGACCGATGGAAGGCGAGAGTGAGCGTGCAAAGCTACCGATGGCCACCATCGAGCAGCAAGAGTCAGTCGATGAAGCCTATGTTGGTGGCATGAATGACGATGCTTCTATCTCTCCCATCGATTCACAGGAGGAAGGAGGAATTTCGGAGCCGCTGCTACTCTCCAAATCGATCGGCCGGTGAAATGAGGGAATCCACAGACCGCAGCTACTGAGATGTTAGAGTTACTTTTACTCCGTGAGGTTCATTTTTACGCTAGGTTGTGGGTGTTTTTAGTATGTTTCAGATCTTAGAAGGTAAAATTAACCCATGGAATGAAAGTTGGACGAAAAGGGGCGAAAACTGGTCAAAAGGGAGCAACAACAATAGTTCACGATGGAGGCCAGAGGTTCACGGTCATCCAGATAATGAAGAAGAGGCATGAGCCGTGAAGAGCGAGGAGTCCAGAAAGGTTTTGTCCATCTCGCGGGAATAAAGCAGTTCACGGTCGCTCGACCGTGAAGAGCAGCTCCAGATCGTGATGCACCTTAATGAAATGGCGTGTCTATGCTCGACATCATGGTTCAGGCCAAATGTTCACGGCCGTGAAATGTCGTCCATCTGGATATATAAAGGGGGTTGAGCTGAAAGAGAAGAGGGCGAGCCTCCCCGGGTATTTTTTCGTGCATTTCTTTGACTCCCTCGCCCTCTCCTCACCTTTCCCTTCGACCCTACTTGAGTCTCCAGGTTTGTGCCTTGTTAATTTTGTAGAACCAGATTAGGGTTGTAGGTGAGGGGGGGGGGGGGGTTTGTGATTAAATGAATGAATGTTGAAATTTGGGCAAGGGGTTATTCGATTAATGTTATTTGAATGATTAATGAAGTGGTTATGAGCTTAGTTGAGCTTTGGTGGGCATGAATTGGGTATGATTTGTGTTGAATTGAGAAAAATGCCTACCAGTGCGATTTATGAATGAATGTTGATTCTATTTTGTGAATGATGGTTGGTGTCCATTGAGGCATGGTTTAGGTTGCAATTTTCTATGATTGATTGAAGTATGAATCACCTAGAACCATGCCTCGGTGTGCTTTGTGTGCAATTGAGCATAAGTGTGGCGGGGAATTCTTTTTCTCCCCATTGATTTGAGATTGATGAAATGTTTCCATGTATGGTGTATGGTTTTGATGTTTTGGCATGAAAGTTTAACCCGAATCACCCATACCTCGCGGCGGTCCCTGATGCACCTGCATTCCAAAGAAAGCTGAGATTTTGGATGAGGGCCCCATTTGGGCTTCATTGGCGGCTCAACTTCCGATAGTTCAATGCGTTGAACTGTGGAGATACCATGAGAGAAGTTGTGGCACATCCTCAATGGCGCCGATTCCTTGAAATCGGGGATGACATCTTCGAGGACATCTACATCAAATTCTTCAGCACCTTCGTCCTATTCCATCAGAAGAATTCCTCTTGGGATCGTGACCCCAAGGTCAGATTCTACTTGGGTGGTATATCCCGGATCATGACCTTTGATAAGCTTTCCCAAGCAATGGGGGTGGAGGATGATCCAAAGACAAAGCTTGAAGCGGATGTCATGCCAAACATCGACGCCAAAGTAGCCTTTATGGAATTTTGCCTCCCCTTGCATCGACGTCACCCCTTTGATCCAGCCCGTACCACAGCTACCACCTTCATTCCCCAATGGCGTGTCATCAATAGAATCCTCGTGCATTCCATCTTCCCAAGTTGCAAATCGAACAAAAGATCACTAAAAGAGCCCTCTTCGCCTTCCCTGCCATGGCTAAAAGAGGAGCGCGTGTCCATATAGGTTCCATCTTGGCCACTTCATTTGAAAGTCCATTGGCAACAAGAGGAATGATGTTATTCACTTGGGGCACTACATCACCAGGATCACGCGATATTTGGTTGTAGACTTGAGTAGTTGCACGAAACAAAAACGAAGTACTCGATTCTGGGAGGGGACCTTGAATGATATGCACTTGCTCAAAGTCTTTGGACCATACCATTACATCGAGGATCTCTTTTCGCCACCATGGCTACCAACAGAGGTTCCACCTGCTCAGCCACGCCAGCACCGTCATCTTCATCAACTGAAGTCGGTCCCTCCACCTCCACAGTACACCTCGAGGACCGACAGGGATCTCCATAGGCTTAGATAGATCCCACACTCTTCTTGAGTGGATGGCTTGACGATAGGGAGTCTTGTTCGACGACGATGAGTGTTCTTCGGCTCGAGTGAGGTAGTCAACAGAGTGAGATATGTGGCAGAGCCGATTTCTTTCACCCCACTTCTCCACTTGAAACTCTGAACTTTGTTATATTTTTTACTTTTCTTTAGTGCGTGAACAAGTACTATTGTGCACTTTTATTTTCTTTAATCGTGATGTTGAATTTTGTTATGTGTAATAACCTCGCCTCAAGCGAGAATGTGCGTGTGTTTTGTGTTTTTACTTCTTCTCTTTGAAGCTCAAATCTCCTACCCCGGAACTTGTCCAACTTTCACTTACCAATGGTTCGGTAACTTCTTCACCATACCCTTTTTCTCCATTGAGGGCAATGTCGTGCTTAAGTGTGGAGGTGTATCAATTGTGATTGTCATGTGATTTTGTGAGTGAATGCTTGATCAAAGTGGCTGGTTGGGGGGAGAATTTTGTGTCTGTTGGTATTGGCCTTGAATTGATTGCTTGTGATCGAGTGCATCCGATTATGATGATTGTGAAGTGCATTAGGTTGGTGCAAGTGTTTAATTCTCATATGTTTGCAAATGAATGGTTGTCTTGGCTTTATTACTCCTCGATTGCAATTGCCATGCATCGAAATTTGTGAAATTGGAATAAATGATTGGGTGACTAGGCAACCATGTGACTTTTGTGTCGTTCGTCTTTTTCATGTGTGATAGATCTCTCTTACCATGGCGAGTAACATTCACTGTTCTCACTAGTGAGTATGAAGGAGGCATAGTATTAGTCCACGCCCAAAAGTTTATTGTCCCGAAACATCTTATCCCCTAGTCAACCCCTTTGATTCTTGTGACTTTAGAGTCATTCTCTTGTTAGGAACTTGTTGCTTTTTTAGCTTAATGGTGATTGATAGAACGACCCTTTTTCCTTTTCCTTGTGTTTAAACCGTTCTGACTCATCCCTATGTCTCGGAGTTCTCGCTTTGAACTCCATTGAGGTTCTACATAGGTGAATTTTGCACGGTTCTTGCTAGGAATGGAAAGGTAGCGTTGGAGGAATTTCTTAATAGAGAGCATTGTTCGTTAAGTGTTAAAGTGGCATGTGTTTAGCTCTCTAATATCCCCCCCCCCCCCCGAAGAAAAAAAGGGGAAAAAAAGAAAAGAAAAAGAAAAGGAAAGTAGAAAAAGGAATCGATAAAAAGGTAATAAATGAGGTAAATAAAGGATATATAGTTTCCACAAAAGATGATGTTTATGCTCTAAAAAGGGTTTCTGGGAACTCAAGCCATTGAAACACCTAATTGCTTGGTGACCTCCTTCACTATTATGATTGAAGTTTGGATAGCAGGATTAGCCGAGGAAGTGTATTTGAATGTAGTTCGTGGTTGGTGATGGTTTGGAAGAAGGGAAGTGTGGTTTTTGGCCGTTGCTAGTGGCCATTGATTGTAGGGTAGGTTCTATTCAAAACCATGGAACCTTTGGTTTTAGGTTGAAGATGTAGAACCTCATGCTTTGCTTGCCACCACCCTAAAGGCCTTTTACCCATGTCCAAGACCCTTGCCAGTCATTTGAACCCATGTCTAAGACCTCCGGACAAGCTAGTGATGACAACCATCTTGTGAACTCTAACATTTAGAGGTTGCCCCCATGGTGAAGAGAGGATAGGGTTGAGTGTTGATGATTGTGCACTTCTTTTGCACCAAATGGTCCTGACCCCACTGGTCGAGAGAGAGTGATTCATTCATGTTTTGCATGTTCATATCTTATCCCGGTGAGGACCTATTTCGACCATTCATTTGTTCCTCAGACTTGAACTCTATGCATGGTTAGTTGCGGTTGGTGAGTAGTCTTGTTGAGACTTGTATTGATTGGTGAACAAGGTAAGAAATTTGCGTTTGCACATTCTTAATGCATTCGAATGTCGTTTGTGATGTTGATACTGCTTGTAATGGTTCATGTGTTGATGCACAATAGCCATAGAGATTCACCCGCTTTGAGTCATTTGATATGTTCCCAAATTATCTTGTTAGGTTGAGCTTTTACCTTGAATGGAATTGGTTTGCTCGGGTCTATTTGTACACTTTTTACCCCATTTTCCTTAGATGTTTGAGGTACTTTTACTACGCGAGGTTCGGTTTTACGTTTGGTTTTGGGTGTTTTTAGTATGTTTCAGATCCTAGCAGATGAAATCAACCCATGGAACGAAAGTTGGACAAAAAATGGCAGAAACTGGTCAAAGAGGAGCAACAACAGTAGTACATGATGGAGGCCAGAGTTTCACGGCCATCCGGACCGTGAAGAAGAGGCGTGGGTTGTGAAGAGCAAAGAGTCCAAAAAGGGTTTGTCCATCTCGAGGGCATAAAGCAGTTCACGATCGCTTGATCGTGCAGACCAGCTCCATACCGTGAAGCACCTTAATGAAACATCACGTTTTTGCTCAACATCACGGCTAAGGCCAAATGTTCACAGCCGTGAACTGGGACCGTGAAACGCCATCGATCTGGGTATATAAAGGGGGTTGAGCTGAAAGATAAGAGGGGGGGAGGGACCCCTACCTTTTTCTACGAGGGTTCACAATGAAAGATTGGAAGCGGAATGTGGAGGTTTCATGGAGAAGCTGAGGAAACTTCACCTCAACATTCCCTTCGTTGAAGCAATGGCTCACATGCCATGGTATTCGAAATACCTCAAGGGGCTTCTCTCCAAGAAGCCGAAGTTCGAAGACCTCGCCAATGTCACCCAAGGATAGGAGTGCTCAGCCTTCATCATCAACCACCATAGGTCCCTATTCATACATCTATCTCGATTTGCTTGATGGCGCATACCCGTCTAACCCTAAAACTCCATACCTAGCGTAGAAGCACAAAGTAGGCTAATAGAGAAGATTAGGGCGACTTACCCAAACACAATCAAGGATAGAATAACAATAGAATCAACTAGATAAACATATTCATTCATTCAAACCCTAAAATATTCATACATACATAATAAACCCTAAAAAATAATGTTTCGGGTTTAGAACCTCTAGTACCTTAGAGTAAGGGTGGGCATACGGTTCGGTAAAATCGAACCTAACCGAACCGAACCAAATTCAAACCGAAACGAAACCGAATAACATTAATTCGGTTCGGAATTCGGAAGAGAAAAGGGTATATTTCGGAAATCAAGGTCCTTTCGACCGAACCGAATTTTCGAATTCCGAACCGATTTTCCGAATTACTATAATTGCAAGTTCCAAATGGTGGATTTTTATGTTTGTACTTATTATGAGACTTAAATATTTGAATTATGATAGTGTTTTATGACTTGTGTTGAAATGTTTGATTTTATCATTGATAATGCATTTAATTGCATATTTATTGTTTACATTAGGGGTGAAAAATAATTTAAAAGAGAAAAAATACAAGCTAACCTCACAAGTGCGGTTTTTCATACAAAACCGAACCGAACCGAATTACAATTCGGTTTGAACCGACCGAACCGAATTATAATTCGGTTCTAATTCGGTTTGAGGTTTGATGGAACTCGGAAATCCGGTATACATTATTTCGGTTCGGTTTGAACCGAACCGACCGAATGCCCACCCCTACCTTAGAGGACTACTCCATAAAGAAAGGAAGAAGAAACATAGAAGAAATTGAAGAAGACTTGGGTTGAGGAAGATGCTCCCTCTCTTCTAGCTCCTTCTCCTTCCTTCATCTTCTCTCTCTATAAAAACAGAAATTTCTCTCAAAATCAGCTCTTCTAAAAATGGGAAAGTAATCTTCTATTTATAGGCAATCTGGGGATGGAGAAGTTCGCGGCCAGAAACACAGAGATCGCGGTAGGGATCTTGAAACGTCGTTGTCCTGATCTTCAGAAATGAGGAGATCGCGGGCTGACTTCGCGGTCGCGATCCATGAGTCGCGGCCGCTATCTTCCTCGCGGTCAAATAATATTGTGGTTGTGATTCGACTGGGAAAGTCAATGTTTCTCCCTGGCTCCTTCCTCGCGAAGTTCGCGCCCTGAGCCCTCTAATTCGCGGCCGCGATCTGGGGCTTTCGGGACGCGATCTTCAGCTTGTGTTTGCGGTCTATGTTCCCGGCCATGATCTTGAGCTTCCAGGCCACGATCTTCAACTTCCTGCCCCCTTGCTACACTTGTGACCTTGTTTTGTACCTAATTCGCATATCGTCTATTACACCTAAAATCACATCGAATTCAAATAAGAACGAAATATGGATGTAATCGACGATGTTCAAGCAATTATGCACATGAATTGGCACAAAACAAACCTTGATATGAAGGTTAAATAACACTAATTTAGGTGTTATCACACACCAACGACTTTTTAATGCAAATCACAAACATGATAAAGCATACCACAAAAAGCATACCAAAAACATGAGAAAGCAAACCATTAATCTCACAATGCATAGCACAATATTTGGTGATAGTTGATCGGTCGTCGAAGACAATTGACCAAACTCCGACGGCCGTCGGTGACTGAATTCCGACGCTGATAACCATATTCCGACCACGATGACTAGATTCTGATGTGGTAAGCATATTTCAACCACGTTGATCGGATTGCGACGACGATTAACATATTCCAATCACGGTGACCGGATTTCGACGACGTTGAGTATATCCCGACGACAAGTCGGCATATGCTGGCGACTGGATTCTGACATCCGAAACATTATGACAAAATAAATATTTTTTTCACTATTAATTTTATTTTTTATTTGTTGTTTAAACATAATATTGTCAATCATAATTCTAATTTTCTATTGGTTGGACACTAGTATTGTCACACTAACAATACAATGAGTGTTGTCAATTGTCATCCTATCTAGTCTCAGGTTAGATTATTCCGATGAAAATCTAAGTAGAGACCATTGTTCTTTGATCCATTACCCAGGTGGCTGAAATAGAGACCATCCGTTTTCTTATTTCCATTCCCAGCGGGTAAAGGGCCAAAACAGCTTATTGCCAAACAGATATGGCAGTGGAGAAATTGCAACAAATAGGAATACCACACACAAAGGACCGAATGATATTAAGTAGAGATCAACTAAAGCTTTACAATTCATATTCACCGAAACCAAATGCATACCTATTCTCGGAGCTCCCTTTCCCACTCATTAAGAACCAACCCCAAATGTGGAGTGGCCATTCCTCTGTTACTTCTTTCGGGCACAATAAGATAAAGAAGGATCCTATATTGGCTAAAAATTACTTCTTCCTATTGCCACTTCGGACCTCTCAATAGCAGGAAGCAGGAGCTCCTCAAAAGCTCGTGAATGTCTGTCTATCCCCAATGTTGAGTTCTGAAGAAGGAATGGGATCTATAGTCGGGAAGGCTGTCTACATACCTCAAACATCTGCAGGAGATATTTTGAGATTATTACCACAAATATTAATTATATCAGCTCAGGCAAACAGATAAACGCAATATGAATAATCCAAGCAACAACGTTCGATCAATGCTCTTTCTTGTAGTAGATTGGAGTTCATTGTTGCAAAAGGTCAGGGACATTTGAAATGCAACATGCATCTTGACCTAAGAGCATAGGAACATCTGAACATGGCAATATACAGCAGCTTCGAGGCATTCAATACAAACAAACAAATAAACAAGAGACAAGAAGAAATGAAGTCAAACAGACCTAAACAACAAATAGAAAGGGAGCAAAGACTTCATTTTCACCAATTTTTCAACTACTTCATTCAGTTTAGTTCATCACAATTCTGGACAATTTTGAGCAAGATATATGAATCAAAAGAGATAAGCACGTTGCATCAAAACTCAGAAAAGAAAGAAGGGGTAAGAGGCCAAACAGCAACACTAGCATGTTTCTCGAGCTAAATGTAAGACACATTCATATATCATGAATCCAGATGAAACATGGGCAAAGTACATACAAGTGGACATGAGTCGCTCATCCATCAAAACAGTTAATTCCTAGCAGTCAAGGGCCAAGAATTATAGAAATTAGAGGAACAAATTTTCTGATTTTCCCAAAAGCCAGAGTCCACACAACCCAGATCAAGAAATACTAACCTCCTATTAACTCGGGGACTCAAGAATTGGACAACAATAAATTTTCTAGTATTCGATAAATCAAGCTTATGTTGAAAGAAGCAAGCACTTACTTGGTCGATGATATCGGGTAATAGGTATCTCTCGTAGTTCACGCCTAATGCAAAGGTATTCACCTAGCAATGCCATCACTGCAAGTCCAGTAAGGTTCACAACCCACCACGTCAGAGAAGAAGGCCATCCCCCATATGTCAAGCATATAAAGAGATGGATGATGTAGATGGTTGCGGAAAAGTCTAAGCACTTCTTTGCCCTCTCAATCAAATAAAGCATAAATCCAGCTCTGCATAGAAATAAAAATATAAGCAAAACCACAAATGAAATGTGTAGAGCTTTTATTTTCTTCTGTCTCTTACTCGTATATCATATAAGCAATTCATGACACATAAGCTACAAACCATGGCATGTAACAACAACATGTGACAATTTCAAAGAAGCACACTGTCACAAAGTTACTGTGAATCCAAGAATACAGTGTAGCAGACCCAAACGGCAAGTGAATAAGAAAAGGGAACGTCACATTCCATTAGTCTAGTATGTAAAAGGAAGGAAATATTAGGTTCAATCCATCTATAAATCCTCTATGCAACATAAAAATGCAGACGACCTGTTCTATGCAACAACACAATAAAAATTGTCACCGTTATTATTGTGTATTTAATCTTAAAGTATGCCAACTCGGCAATTTTCAAACATAAGCAATTTGGTGCTCATTGCAGCTTCCCATCAAAGTCATACAAAGTCCAGCCAAGATCAGCCTAAGGCCTGGATGCCACTTTAGACGGACAGAGGCATTTGAAAACAGTTGAAAATGATAAATCGAAGTCGATGAAATGTAATTCATAACTCTTACCCACATGAATGCATACCATAACCAAGTATTCAAACGAATCCTAGGATTCGTATGACCTAAATACCTAGTAAAGAAAACAAGCCAAGAGTAGGAGCCACACATCCCCATCGATTACCAAATGAAGGATACTGTGCCAAGAATCCAGATTTCGCCATTACATTAAAGTGAAAATGTTCACTACCATCTTATCAAAAAAGATGTTCACTACCACAAAGGATAAGGCATCAATGCTACATAATCTTCCATGACTTCCTTTCTCCCTGCTGATATCTACTCTCCAGTCTCGACAAATAAGAAATAAGTAAAAAGTCATGAACTTGACAACCCGGGTAAAGACCACACTCACACACTACCCACTGAAGTCAAAACCAATCACCAAGCCATCCAAAGTTCAAAGGATCCGGGAATACTAAACCAATTACACATAGTAACAGCTAGCCCAAATGATTCGCAAGCCTTGTTGGGCAGTAGAATGATCAGACCATTAAAACTCCTAATTAGCAAATACAATCTGGACAAAATTCCAGAACAGATACACAAGTAGAGCATCCATCCTCTACGAAGACAACTATGTGGTTCAATAGCACCCAATAAAAAGCATTATACTATCAGTAGGCTGCCGTGTGAAAAATGCTTACCCGGCGAGGGAGCTGAGCAAGAAGGAGGCGATAACGCACCATCCAGTGACGGAAGACGCGGTGACGGTGACGAAATCAAAGAAATAGACGAGACTGAGTCGAGAAACGCGGGTCCCAACGAGAATGGAGAGGAAGAGTCCGACGGTGAGATAGTAGAGGCATTGAAGGCACACGATCTGGGCGACAATTAGCCATGGATCCCATACAATTGAACCATAAAACATGACTGAGACTAATCCCCCGGAAGCGGGGAAAATTAACGAAGCAGATCGAGAGAAATTCCAAAGACAAGGAAATGAACGAACAAGGAAATCAGTGGGCGGGAGAGAGTTCAGTTGCTCACAGAAGGCGGCGCAGAACGAGTTGCGCAGCGACGACGAATTAGAATCAGCGCGCGAATTGTGGATCGGATCGAGGAGAAAGTAAGATGCAAACGGGAAACCACCACATTTTCACAATTCTCCACAGCTGGAGAAGAATACGGAGGAGAAGAAAAGAGGTGATGCGCTTATTCCTTCACGTAAGCAAGCAGAAGTTACAAATGGAGAGGGCGGCCGGCGGCTCCTTCCGGCTCTGTCAACCCGGTATAGTTGCCCGGTCAAGCAAGTGGGTGAAGAATTAACGGTCGGATCGGTTTAACTCGATTTAGCCCGATTTGTATACAATATAAAATACCTCTATTAGATAGAATGAGTGCAAAGTTTGACAACTGATACCTTGTAGTAATTTATCTCTAACATGTAAATATATATGAATATTAAAAAAAATATTAATATTTTCATTTAATCTGAAGTTTGGTGTAAGTGACAGTTTTGGTTCAAATTTTTTAGTAATACTGTTTTGGCTAACTTTTCAAAATAATGGACAAATTTGACCTATAATTTGAATTGACCGTCAAAATTGACATCAACTATTTTCTCCTTCAATGACGCAGCATACTGTGCTAACTAGGCTCGTACACATCATTTACTTTTTTAATCAAAAAAAGTTATTATTATTTTAAAAAATTAAAAAAAAGAATATTTAGGCTGAAGGGGTGACAAGGACCACAAGAATCTTCCCCTCTTAGAATCTTTCTCCTTCATTTTCTCTCCTAAAGCTTCTGACTCATCCGCCTCTCTTCCATAGCCAGTGATTTGGGCCTAATTGTATACATTTTATTCCCGTTTCTTTTTGACGTTTGTGGCAATTGAGCTCCAAAAAGGGGTGGTTTTACGTTAGGTTTCTTGTGTTTCAATGTGTTTCAGAGTCTAACATGTGAAACCAACCCCGGAGTCGAAAGTTGGAAGAAAGGGAGCAATGACCGGGCAAAGAGGAGGATTCAGCCGATGTTCACGGTCCATCATTGGAGTTCACGGTCGCTAGGACCGTGAATCACGAAGCTTCTAGAGGGGTTTTTGAGGTAACTGACGCCAAGGCAGTTCGCGGTTACTAAGACCGTGAACTGGAACCACAAATCGTGAACCTCAGAAGTGAAGTGGTGCGTTTTGGTCCAACTCACTGTGTTCAATGACGCATTTTGATGTTCATGGCCGTGAACTGAGGTGTAAGACCTTGAACTGATTAACGCGGCCGTGAACTGAGGTCTAAAACCTTGAACTTATCAACGCGGTCGTGAACTGAAGCCTAAGACCTTGAATAGAGCCCGATCTGGGTATAAAAGGAAAAGGGAGCTGAAGGAGAAAGGGGAGTTTTTATAGGGGTTTTAGTTTCGGAATAAAGGAGGGTTTCTAGTGAGATATTAGGGTTTCCTCTTCCTAATCTAGAGAGAGAAAGTGCAATTCAAAGGAGGAGGAAGGAGATTTGAGCTCATTTCAAGCTAGAGGAGTGAAGGTTTCTTATTCTCAAGGGAGATTCAAGCAACAAGGAGGAAAAATTCATCTCTTCATGGTTCTTTCTCTCATTTTCCTTGTTTTCCTTTTCCTAGCTATGGAATAGCCTACCTATTCACTTGGGTGTTGTGAACCCTAACTACAATTATGTGAATGCTTGTATGAATTGAATGATTTGTGTGTGGTTGTGTTTAATGTGAATTTGGAGGTATTTTTCATAGTGATTGTGTGTTCTATGTTGACCTAGCTTAGTGAGGAGACCTCCTTTGCTTAAGAGGCTTAATTAGAGATGGGTGTTCTTGAGCATTGCATGCCTCCTATGCTAGTTTAGAGAGGAAACCTCCTTTATCCAAAGAGGCTCAATTTGAGTTGGGTTTCCTTGGGCGTTCAATGCCTCCTAGACTAGTTTAGAGAGAACCCTCCTTAACCTAAGAGGCTCTATTAGAGATGGGTTTCCTTGGGTATTTCATGCCTCCTATTCTAGGTTAATTAAGGGCAAACCTCCTATTTCGTATTAGCACTTAGGGTTTGGTTCTGGGTGGCCATCCGAACTCCAATTCGAGGGTGAAGTCTAACCATTCCTTAGTCGATAGGTTGAGAGGGTCGCTTTAGCAGCTTGGATCATATCCCATTTCCTCAACCTAGAGACTAAGATGGTAGCCTTGGCTACTTGTTAGACTTCCCTGCGGTTTATAACCCCCTAACCACACACGGTCGTTCGATTCTTTAAGTCGTAATTGTTAGCTAGGGGGAGCAACACCCAAGTGAACTCTTCTCTCGTTGGGACAACCTCGATTTAATTTACTTGCCTGTTTTTACTTGTAGTTTTCTTAGTTTTAAACCCAAAACCGTTTTGATAGATAACAACCTAAGCGATAGAAGTAGGGGTACATGGACCGGTTCGGGTTTGACGATTAAATATTTTCCCTATACTGCACCCGGCTAGAGTTTAAAAACTTGGGCTCTTGTCGGGATTAATTCGTGGTGTAGTTCAGAGCGAGTCAAGTTTTTGGAGCCGTTGCCGGGGAACCGTGGTCCATTATTTGGAAAAGGTCGCTTAGTGTTATTCTAGAATTTTCTATCTTGCCTTTGTGTTTTGTGTTTCGTGTGTGTTTTGTTTGCCAGTCTTCGTCTTGAAGGGTGGTTTGTGTGCATTTGATTTTTCTTTTTACTGTTTTTGTGTTTGTAGGTATTGGATCATAGATCCTTATGATTTTGCCCAAGTGTGGGGGTATCCACCAACACCCGAGAGTGGTTACCCAGGAACTTCATGGGACGATCAAGAAGGGGGAAGTTAAGGATTCGGATTCTACTACCAACCTCCCTTCCAAGAAGAGCAACCATGCTCATGGGGATACCAAGAAGCTTCCCCATATCAAGAAGGTTTCCCTCCACAACTTTAGGTGAAATCCAAGTTGGAGTTGGCATGGAGGCATTCATGGGACAAACCTCAAGACCATGTTCCACTCCACAACCAGAGCCAAAGAGCAAATTAGAGCTCATGGTGGAACGATTCGCCCGGGGCACCGATGAAGAGTGCTCTAGCAAGGACCTCCCAATTGCCAACCATTTCGACTCAACCTTTCTTCGGGAATCGGAGGAGCTCATTCGACACACGGAGAGGCTAGGAGGGCTTGTTGAGAAAACATGTGCACAACTTGCTCACAATCGCCTCCTACCATTATAAGAAGGAAGGGAGGCCGAAGAGGCAAGCCATGGGAACTTTGGAAGAATGAGCTCCGACATGGATTTCCAACCCCTCCCTACACCCGATTTGACACTTGAAGAGAAGGTGACACGAGCTTGTGCAAGTTATCGCCTCTCATCATTGGAGGAGAAAGCGGAGGTTGAAGGAGCGATCAATGACAACCGTGTGGAGCAAGACGAACTCACCCCGGAGAGCTCCCATGGTGAGGATGCACAAGAGGGTTGCGTTGATGACTTTCACACCCTTCCCGAGAGCAACTTTGAAGATCAAGTCACGAGTATGGAGGAGCAAGAGAATCCTTTTTATGATATTGCATGGCATCTTGCCCTTCAAACCGTGCTTGAGTGCATGAATGGGAAGGAGAAGGAAGAGGTTTAAGAGGAGGAAGAAAACATTGAAAAAGGGGAAGATCTTGATTGTTCCCAAAGGGAGGAAAGTGAAGAAGAAGGAAGGGAAGTTGAGGAAGAAGAAGAAGAAGGAACAAGTGGTGTCCAAGATGAGGGCGAGGTCAGGGTGGATGAAGCATCCACGAGTTACACATGCTACCAATGCTTTCTACCTTACCTTGACGCGCTTTTGGAGAATGACCCATTTGCGGCTCTTTGCCAAGCCAAGGCCAAACCATCGGAGATCCCTCTTGGTGGATGCGATGGAAGTCAATCAATGATGGACTACATGGTGTGGGGCAAAGAGAAAGAAGAAGAAGAGGTCTCGTGGGTGGAGCCTCATGACAACTCAAGTTCACGAGCCCTCAATCATGGATTCGTCCAAAGCTCGTGACTTGAGACTTCATCTCACCAACGAGAACCTCAACTTCAAGGAAGTTCTTGGGTGGACCGAAACTTGAGGAGCAACCGTCCGGCTCACGACGTTAAAGAAGCACTTGGTGGGAGGCAACCCAACCATCAACTGATTGCATCTTTTTTTCCTTTCAATAAGACGACCAATGGAGAGCTTTTGGTGGTGTTTTGTCGTCTCCTTGCTCTTCCGTATCTCACCCGGCCTCCGCTCCCGAACACTAACATTCGCCATTATCCTGTAACATCGTTCTACTTCTCTATTTTACGCCATTGAGGGCAATGTCGAGATTAAGTGTTTGGGGGGGGGGGGGGGGGTAGTCCATTATGCATGTGTGTGAATATTTGGTGTGATTTTGAATGCTTTGAGCCTAGTTGTATGCCCAAATTTTTAAAATTTGAGGGCTCCAAGCATAGTAACTTCTACATTTGCATGATCATAGCGGCACTTGTGTTGTTTTGTTTTGAATCTCGTGGTTATTAGCATGACCTATGGATGGTTTGCTTGTGATTATATGCAACCTAGATGACGATTGAGACTTGTATTAGGTTTGTGCATAGGTTCATTTCTCATATGTTTGTGAGCCAATAGATGTTTTGAATCGATTACTTGCTTTTCACAATTGCATATGCATCGAGTTTAGGGAGTTAGAACGAATGATTGAGCTCTTGTGTGATAGATCCTCCTTACATGATGTGTAACATTCACTTTTAGTCAATTCAGATTGCAGGTGGGTTACGTATTGTATTGAACTGACGGTTTACTTAAGTAGGGCATGTTCTGACACCTCTAGTCACCATAAACTTTATTTCAAAATGTTAAATATAAGATCTTTTCAATAAATAAATAAATAACGGTAATTTATTTGTCGTTCATCTCGAAAGACGAAAGCAATCGCCAATACTCTTGTTGGAAAAATGGAGTCTTTGAAGTTGCTGGAGACAGTGCCATCAATGGTGAAGGATTGGATTACTTATTATCAGTAATGAGTGATGCATGGTTATCAGGTATTTGAGGTCGCTTAATAAAATATTTCGGGGTTTGGTTAGCGGCTATTTAAGAGATCGATTAGTAATGATAATGAGAGTAAAAGTAATGATTGTGAAACCATATTGAGAGTTTGTAGTAAAATTGTGGTTGAACTGTGGTTCAACCATTTCGTACCCCTAAAATCGCTTATAGTTTGAGGTCGGGTCTGATATCCAATATTGTTG